TAAACACGAGTGAATAAATGAGCAAAGGGAATTCTAGAATAAAAGAAAATCAATGGAGTAATTAGAGTGGATGATTGTTATGATGTAAATAAAATCTTGTAAACAAAATCAAATTCTTAAAAATTATTAGAAAATGCTTGTAAATTTAAGACCCACTCTTTAAATCCACTTGTTCTATCTAGATTATCGGAGGGCAGACGCAAGTCATTTTAGCCCTATATTGTTCTACTAGTATCCATATTGAATGCCTCTTAAATGCACTGTTTCCTTTCAAGAACCATTTACAAACAATGCTTCATCGGTATAACTTAATCAAATAACCACCAAAGTATGTCAACTAGTCAGTAAATAATATTTTTCAAACTTTTAAATGAATTATGACAGCAACTAAACCATTAAATCTTCAAAGGTTATTATTACCTTTCAGGCCAATGTCTCCGGTTACGCCAATCTGTCCTTTGTGTCCTCTCAGACCCCTGTGCCCCTGTTCTCCCTGATATCCCTGGTGGCTCTTTCCAATTTCGCTCTTTATTCCTGGCACGCCAACTTCACCTGGTGATCCCGCGTCACCAGGCAATCCTTCTAGCCCCTGTGATCCTTTTTTACCAACTTGACCCGGCCTGCCTCGTTCACCACTCGATCCAAGGTCACCTTGGTCTCCCTAAAAGTGAATTAACAAAGAGGGCGATAATAGATCACATGGATTATACGAAAGTTTAGGTTAGGTTTGGCTATTATGAAAAATGCAAATGCGTCATTTTAAAAATATTAAGTGGGAACAAGACACTAGTTAAGCTTCGTAAATTGATTTCTAGAAGCGTTGAGTGAATGAGAGCTGAAAGCGTTATGTTTCTGTGTCCTGATAATCTCTTTACAATAACTTTAACCCTAAGGAGATACTAATTGAGATCAAACTAATAATATCAATATCTTAGTCGTTATGTCTGAGGGGTGTAACCCCTAAAATAAAGTAATCTGAAAAATTATATCCATCTTGCAGACAAACCTTCTTATTTCAATTGGACTTTTAAGATAATTCGAAGGTAATTCGCTAAAGTAATACAGGATCTGGGGTTGAATTTTTCAAAAATGAAATGACT